AAACACATTTATTTATCCTAGTTGCATGTATAAACTCAATTAGGCTAATTAATCAAGAGACTAGAGACTGCACATATAAATAATTTACAGCAATAACATATACCAATCTCAAAATACAGAATTTCTATACACAATAAATAAGAAAAAGACATAAAAAATAATAATTCACAATTTGACGAGGACATCGGCAGGCACGCCATGCTAGCTGCGTTGAGAAAAATACCGTACCATTAGAGAAGGCAAGAGAAGAGAATAAAAAAAAACACGTCAAATGTTCGTTCTGCATGCTTACTCCAGATGCTCTTTCTTCTTAAGATACTCCTCCTCCTGCAACTTTAACATCTCAATCTCTCTCTCTCAATTTCTCAATCTATCTACATCTATCTATATCTTTCTATCTATATCTTTATGTCTACCTATATCTCTATCTATATACCTATATTTATCATAGATAAATCTATATATCTATATATATTTATATCCCTATATCTATATCTCTACCTATCTATATCTATCCATCTATATCTATCTACCTATATCTCTATGTATATATCATATCTATTTATCATAGATAAATCTCTATATATCTATATATATATATATATCCATAATTATCTATATCTATTTATTTATATATATATCTATCTCTCTATATATCTATCACTATCACTCTATTGATCTATCTCTCTCTCTCTCCCTATTCTAGAACTTGCATGTCTCATACAAATCAAGAAGGTCAGCCATCACATAGTGATCATTGTGTGTAGTAAGGATCTCGCACGGTGAGGTCCACGTGCAGTACAGAAACTGTTCTCTAGTATCCACCGAGTCGTTCAGTTGTTTACTGTATTACTGTAATTTCCAGCGGATAGGATGCATATTTCTGTTCAACCATCAACTGAATATATATTATATTTACAATCACAAAATTAATCATTTTTCCCTACAAAACCACTTTAAAATCATTAATTAAATGCATGATGAAATGAACTAAAGCAATTGTTTCCTACAAAATATCCTGGTAAATTACGTATGTCTTATATGCTGGAGAAATCTGGTAATTATTATAGAGCAAGCATGAATCATCACATTCGCTAATCACCGTAATATTAAATTACGTATGTCTTATATGCTGGAGAAATTTGGTAATTATTATAGAGCAAGCATGAATCATCACAATTGCTAATCACCTTAATATTAAATTTCTTATCTATCTGCCTAGTAACTTCATCTCATTTCATTTGTATTAAAAATATGGCCAGTGCAAGTGATTAATAGGGAAAGTGAAATGGTCTTCGTTAATTCTGTTTCTCCTCAGTGATACAGTAATTGCTGATCACCAACATTCATTTTTTCAAGAAAATCAGTAGAAGGTTATCTTGAGATGATTTCGGGGCTTAGCGTCCCTGTGGTCCGGTCCTCGACCAGGCCTCCTATTTGTTACACCCCACCCCACCAGGAAGCAGCCTGTAGTAGCTGTCTAACTCCCAGGTACCTATTTACTGCTAGGTGAACAGGGGGCATCAAGGTGAAAAAAACCCATTTGTTTCCACCTCCACCAGGGATTGAACCCGGAACCTCAGGATTATGAATCCGACGCTCTGTCCACTCAGCTGTCAGGCCCCCCTCCTTAGCCCTGAGGAGGATTCAAACCCACTCACTTGATACCCCCAAGCTAGCGACTTAGACCACTACATGGTCACCATGACTGTGTAGGGGTATAGCTCCCAAGCTGATTGGTGGTCTGGTCAATCAGACTGTTCAACGCAGCAGCTCAACAGCCCGATATATGAGTCACAGCCTCCAATCACTATCCAACCAAATTCTCTCAACAAACAGGTTACATTTTTGATGTTATCATAACCAACTTTACAAATGCAACCTATTAAGGAAAGTAATGATTCACTGATGTTCGTGTTGTCTGTGCATCAGGCTCGATAAGTTAGATGGGTTGCTAGTGTTTGTACTTTTCGGGTTAGGCTAAAAGGTTGAATTGTTTACCGAGTACTAATTTTTGGGTGGCGACCACACGCACAGTATTGCCCACTCCAGTTTTCAGGTTTGTGTATAATATTACTGACTCAAAGATCCACATCTTCAGACATTACCCAACAAACACACATTTGTTTACACTAAACATTACTAAAATTTTAATAAGGAAAAAAAGAATGCACAAAGAGATCACATAAATGTAACGTATCAATGAGAAAATCAGTAGGAGCCCCGTGGAGGATTCGAACCCACTCACTTCATACCCCCAAGCTAGCACCCTAGACCACTACACAGTCACCATGACTGTATAGTGGTCTAGGGTGCTACCGTGGAAGTACAGTACCAAGTGAGAAGGTTCGAATCATCCTCGAATTACACGCAATGTTTTAGGCACAAGAGAACTGGCACTAACACATTCACAAAGCAATAGACAGATAGATAAGAAATGCCAATTACTATACTGTACTTGTATTTCTTTAATGTGCATCAAGCACCGCAACTCTTATCTAACTGAGATTTAAACCTCCTCTCACAAGTCGTAAGGTTCAAACACTTTTGCCCTATTGCTCTATGGCTATCTTCTCGAATTGTGCTCTAAAACAACACCTATTTTTTAGGA